TAATGTTTATTTTTGAGAGAGAGAGTGCACATGAGCATGCAAGTAGATGAGGGCAGAGAGAGACGGAGACCAAGAATCTCAAGAATATGCAATGACAGTGCAGAGCCTGAAATGGGGCCCAAACTCACAAACCATGAGATTGTGACTTGAGCCAAATAAAGAGTCAGGCACTTTAATCAACTGAGCCACCCAGGCACCCCTTGCCATTTTCATTCTTGGTGTGGACCTCCTTTGGTTGATTTTGTTGGGGGAATCTCTGTGACTCTTGGACCTGAATCTGTTTCCTTTCCTAGATTTGGGGAGTTTTCAGCTATTATTTCTTCAAATAAATATTCTCCCATCTTTTCTCTCTCTCCTTCTGGGATCCCTATAATGTGAATGTTATGCTTCATGGAGTTGCTGTGTTTCCTAAGCCTATTCTTGTTTTGCATAATTCTTTTTTCTCTTATTCAGCTTGATTACTTTGCATTACTTTCTTCTAGTTCACTAATGCATTCCTCTGCTTCTTCCAGTCTGCTATTGATCCATCAAGTGTATTTTTATTTTTTTATTATTTATTTTTTTTAATTTTTTTTTTCAACGTTTATTTATTTTTGGGACAGAGAGAGACAGAGCATGAATGGGGGAGGGGCAGAGAGAGAGGGAGACACAGAATCGGAAACAGGCTCCAGGCTCTGAGCCATCAGCCCAGAGCCTGACGCGGGGCTCGAACTCCCAGACCGCGAGATCGTGACCTGGCTGAAGTCGGACGCTTAACCGACTGCGCCACCCAGGCGCCCCCATCAAGTGTATTTTTAATTTTATTTATTGTGTTGTTCATCTCAGAGGAGTTCCTTTTTACGTTTTTTCTTTGCTAAGGGTATCATTGATTTCCCCCTCTTAAGTCCAGTGAGTATCTTTATGATCATTACTTTAAATTCCCTATCAGGCATGTTACTTTGATCTTGTTCACTTAGGTCTCTTGCTGTGGTTTTGTTCTGTTTTTTCATTCGTGATGGATTTCTCTTTCTCCTCATTTTGCCTGACTCTCTGCTTCTCTGTGTTAGCAAAGTCAGCTACATCTCTTGCTGTTGAAAGTTGTTGGTGGAAGTGCATTTTTAAATAGGTGGTGCTTGTCCTCCTCTACAGGGGATGTGCAGCCACCCTGGAGACCAGGTGTCTCACTGGTTCCTGAAGGTGGTTGTGTTTAGGATGAGAAGCAGGGGAGGTAAATAGGGCCTGCCAGCTTCTCTGTTCCTGGAGAAGTCCCTCAGGGAACTCTGTGATTAGTTAACCAACTATGCCTCCTGTAAGCCCCATGTGCCTTTCATGTTGCTGCTTCACTGCAGAGATAGCAAGCTATTTGTTGTGCTATCTCTCTAAGGGTGGGGATTAAGGTGCCTGTTGCCCTCTGGGATCTCTCAGAGCAGAGCCAGCTGATTTTTGCTGTTTTTTTTAGGTTTGCCTGGAAGCCTTATGTCCAGCTGGTTGTAAGAATTAAAAAAAAAAAAAAAAATCGGCCCCTGTGATTTAAAGCCAAATGTTAGGGGATTTCTCTTTCCTTTGCAGGCTCCCTGTTGTGATAGACTGGTTCTCACCTGTGTCTGCTCCTATGGCTCCCTCTGGTAGTCAGATCCTTGGGGCTTAGGGTCCTGCTGAGTCTTCACCCTTCCTCTTTGATGTGGCCTCTTCTCCACATTAGTTGTGGAGTTTGTTCAGCAAGTCTTTGGGTCCTTTTCTGGGTATTGGCTCCTATGTGAGTGTTACCTAGTTGTACCCATGGGATGAGATGAGTTTAGGGTTCTCTTACTCTTTCATCTTCCCTGAGAAGTCTCCCATCAAGCATCAAGTGTGTTTTTAATTTCACTTACTGTATTCTTCATCTCTGATTGGTTCTTTTTTTTTTTATCTTTGTTAAGGGTCTCACTGAGGTCCCCCACTCTTTTCTCTAGTCCAGTGAGTATCTTTTTTTTTCTTTCTTTTTAAAAAAAAAAATTTTTTTAACGTTTATTTATTTTTGAGACAGGGAGAGACAGTATGAATGGGGGAGGGTCAGAGAGAGAGGGAGACAAGAATCTGAAACAGGCTCCAGGCTCTGAGCTGACAGCACAGAGCCTGATGCAGGGCTTGAACTCACGGACCGCGAGATCATGACCTGAGCCGAAGTAGGATGCTTAACCGACTGAGCCACCCAGGGGCCCCTCCAGTGAGTATCTTTATGACCACTACTTTAAACTCTTTATCAGGCAGATTACTTACCTCTGTTTCGTTTAGCTCTCTTGCTGTGATTTTGTTCTTTCATTTGGGACATAATCTTCTTTCTCTTCATTTTGCCTAACTTTCTGTGTCTTTCTCTCTGTGTTAGCAAAGTCAGCTATGGCCCTTGCTCTTGAAAGTGATGGCCTTAGGAAGAAGAGGTCCTGTCACGTGCTGCAGTGAGTCCAGTGTCCCCTGTTCATCAGAACCTGGTGTTTCAGGGGTGTCTCCTGTGTGTGTTGCGAGTGCCCTGTAGTTGTGGCTAAGCCACATTTATTTGCCTTCAGTCCAGTCAGCTGCAGTGGCTTTTTGCCTGTTGTGGGCAGGGTTTGGTCCCTGTGGTGGCAGTGGGCCTGTCTGGGGCTGCCTTGGGCTTGAGTTGAGTCTGACCAGGCATTTGCCAGAGACGAAGTAGCACCTGAGAAGCTTCTGTTGGTGGATGGGACTATAGATAAGATTTCTGCCTCCTGTCCCCTGTCTGGGTTAGTTGGATTGGTTTATGTGGTCATCTGTCCCTCTGCCTGGGGAAGGAGTCACCTTGGAGTGGTGGTGGTGGCCCCTGTTGGGGCTGCTTGCATACTGCCGGGCTTGTGGCCCCAGTTTGGATGGGCTGCGGCCAAGAGCATATGGCAGGGGGCAGACCCACCATGTGCAGGGGTGTGGGGGCAGATGGGTGGTGCTGGTTGCAATGTTTGTGAGCAGCTGGTCCTCTGCAAGAGGGATTGAAGTGGGCCTGTGTGGAGGGGGCAGATCCACCAAAGCACAGCGCCGGGTGGTGGGGCATATGGTGCAGTCAAGTTAGGTGGTGGATGTTGGCACTGTGCTGGTTCCCACGGGTGGCCGTGTGTTTATGCTGGGGGCGGGGGTGGGAAATGGTGCCTCTGTTCCTGGAGGAGTCTTGCAGTGTTCTCTGTCCGTCTGGGACAAGCTCTTCGTAAATAACTCTTTTTGTATACCCCAAGCATTTTTTCAAACTGCTGCTTCTATTGACATATCTCCATGGGCTGTTTGTTGTTCCGTCTCTTTAAGGGTGGAGGCTCAGGTTCCTATCACCCTCCTGGCTCTCCCAGAGCTGAACCTGATTGTGAAAGTTAAGGATGTTAAGCCTGACTGATTGTAAGACCTCTAGAAGTTAGGCCTCTGTGGTTTTCAAAGTCAAATGTTAGGGGGATTCATCTTCCCAGTGCAGGCCCCCATGTCTTAGGTCTGACGTCTGCTCCTCTCTCTGTGCCTGTGGTGTCCCTGCCTCCTGCACACAGCCCCATGGATCAGTTTGCTCCCGACCATGTTTCCTGCCTTCCTTTGGCCCATTCTCTGCAATTAGCTGTGGAGAGTCTGTTCTGCCAGTGTTTGGGTTGTGCTGTTTTTTTTTTTTTTTAGGTTTGTTTGTTTATTTGGAGAGAGAGTGTGAGAGCTTGTGTGCGAGTAGGGAAGGGGCAGACAGAGAGCCGGCGAGAATCCCAAGTAGGCTCGGTGCTGCCCTCCAGAGCCCAACACGGGGCTCCATCTCACCAACCCGTGAGATTAGGACCTGAGCCGAAATCAAGGGTTGGATGTTCAGCTGACTGAGTCACCTAGGTGCCCCGTGTTTTTGGGTTATTTATACTGAGCTGTTATCTAGGCTCCTCTTACTCTGCCATCTTCCCAGGAAGTTCTGAATGGGGCATCACTTAGTGTGGAGGTCAGTGCATGCCATCACCGTAGTACCCCCTACTTCCACCCTAAGGTCATGGGCTCTAGACTGTTTTATTCCAGCTGTGTAGTCCCATCTGGGTCTCAGTGGCACGCTCTGCCTTTAACGATCATGAAGGGTGAGTGCACCACCTGGGTATTCTTTGTCCATGACCTTTGAGAACCACATACAGATGTGGTAGTGAGGTCAACCCAAGAAAACCAGTCCTCCTAATGACTTGAGGTCTCACTGGGACGACATAGGCAACCTTGGTTCTGGTTCTGACCATGATACTGGTATTGCGTATCTTGGTAGCTTCATGCAAATCACTTGACTCACTCGAGTTTCTATCCTTTACTTATAGAATGAAGGGGCTGAAGGACTTTCCCAGATGATGTCAGTTGCCATTTCTGGATGAATTAGCAGTTAAGGTAAGGCTACCTGTGTAACACAGGTGCTCAGGGGTGTAACACATCACGTGTTGTGTTGTCATCACCAGTCAGAAACAGCTGGTCAGATGGCCTTCCATGTGATCATCAGGGGCCTAGCTCCTTCCATACTCTAAGTCTGCCTGCCTTTAAATTGGGGGCTTTGTGAGGTTGCCAGGAATGAGTAGACTGACCAATGAATGCTCCAGATGTAGAGGATTCAAAATATGCCCCTTCCACCCACATTCCATTGGCCAAATGCACCAGGAAGTCTGCGAATTGTGGTCAAGCATGTGTGGTGAGGCAAGGGAAACAGCTTTGCTATACAACCAGCCATTTGGATAGAGAAGACCGCTGGCCACTTAAATGGCAGCTTCTCCTTAACAACATCTCCTGCAACCAGGGGACTCCTATACAGGAGGGCACTGTCCTAATCTTGTCAAGAGACAGAGCAGGATGATTAGGGAGTGTAGCCACACATCCAGGATTGCCCAGGAGGGGCCCAGCTCAGGCCTGTGGTCTTGGTAATTCCAGCCAGTTGGTACCCCTTTGGATAACTGATAGTATCACCCTCAGACTACAGGATGGACAGAGCAGAGGAGGGGAGAGAGGACCAGATTTGGCGAAGACCTGGGATATTGCTGAAGAGAAGCCATAAGCCGCTGTTCCGTAAAGACAGTATTTTTTTTTTTAATTTTAAAATTCTGCATCTGAAAACACAGTATGACAGAAAGCATCTATGTACACCTGCAGTGTTTTTGGTATGATACAGTATTTAATACATCCACTGTTTTCTGCAAAAAATTTTGCTTTGTCAGACAGAAACAGACTCCCCTAGACAAAAAAATACAGCTAAGGCACAATTTCGTTGTTGTTTTTCTGCTAAATGAAAAGACAGAAAAGGTGCAAAAATGGGCGGGTAGTGCAATCATTTCCAAGAATCACTGTCTACCTTGAGGAAAAGCATTCGTAGGATTGGAATTTTGATAACTTGTCAATTTCAGATAGTTCAATATCTCTTAAAATACTCCTTTAAATAAATAGCAAAATATCTACATCTTTCAGGTGTGTGCCATTGGAATTTTTTTAAACTTTATTTACAGATTTTTTAAATCAATACATTACAAAATATTTCTGTACAGTTTTATGCATATCATGATCTATAACAAAATAGTTATTTTTAAAAACTATATCACCACATGTCTTTGAAAAAAATGAGGGGGACAGTAATAACTTATCGTGAGGCCTCTAAAAAAAAATACCCAAACACACGCTATTGACAACATATTAGAAACAAAAAAAGACCGAGAACGGACTCGAAGGACGGTTGCACTCAATTCCAGTAAATTTCCTATGAAACCCTAGGGTTGTCTTTGGCCTCCAACAGAGCCTGGAACAACAGAAGGCGCAAGTGTGATCCCTTTGAGAACACGACCCATCGGCTGGGAATATTTAATGCTCTCACTTTCCAGGCAGGAAGGAGGAAGAGAGAAACTGAGAAACTCTCCTGCTTTACCCTTGAACGAAGTACCTCCAAGTCACCACGCCTGGGTGGGGGTGGGGGAAAGAGGGTACCTCGGCAGTGTGCGCGGAGGACGGGCTGACGTTCACGTGAGCACCCGAGCCTTCGTTTCACCCACAGGGACAACAGAAGAGTGCTTCTCTTAAAGACGGCGTTTAGAAGCCATGTGTACGGCATCTGCAAACTACAGACGGGCAGCCTCTCGCTTAGGAGGCTGCCGCGAAAGCTTCAGGATGCTCCTTCTTCTCGGATGTTGGTGGAAGGTGGACGGAGAGGGCAGTCAGCTTTCCAAAAATAATTTTAAGGCCACATTTCAAAAAGGAGAAACCTAAGGCTTTTGGGGGTGAGGGAAGGGAAATGGAGGAGAGGGGAGAGGGGGATGGAGGTGCAAGGGGGCAGAACCTGCTTTTCCTGGGGACTCCGTGGGCAGAGGCAGGGGGGAGGCTTCCCAGCCGGAAGGAGGGGGGCCGCTGTCTCCCTGGGTGGGGCTTGGGGAGGACAGAACCAAAGACAACGTGAGGGGCAGACACAGGTGGCGCATGAAAGCCCTCAGTCTAGGGTCTATAAAGTATCGGATTTGCAACGTAAAAAAAAAAATACTTTTGAGAGACAGAGAAGGAAACAGAGGGAGAGAATTTGCATAGATTGTACATTCAGCTCGAGCAGATTTGGGACACCTAATCGTTTCTCCCCCAGGTAAACTTCTCAGCAGACACAATGAGGTAGCGCCTGTGGTAGACCCATGGGCAAAGTAAGGTAACTGAGGCAAAGCGGGCATCCTGCGAGCAAGCAGGGCTCCCGAAACGTGCGCCAGGACAGCTGCTCAAACGTAGGACTTGGAGAGAGCCGGGCTGCGACCCAGCCTCCTGGGCCCCCCAGCCAACCTGTCATCCATCAGCTCTGCCTGGGCAGGCAGGAATTCTGGAACGCGTGGGCCTCTTTAGGTTGAAGGGGCAGCGACTGAGGTCTCCAAATTCTTTTTTTTTTTTTTTTAAGCACCATCTTGGGACCTAGGACAGCTGAACAAGCCTTTCCTCCTGGAACCCTTCTCTGCAGGACCGTCTCTCCTGGTTGGAATGACTGGTAAGAGGTTTATGGTTTCTTCAGAGCGATTGCTGAGATTGCACCAAGGGTGGCGCTTTTCCTCCTCCACGTGGGCACTGCCTACCTCATGGTAAACCACCTCTCCAGCCAGCGGGTGGGCCGGCAGTGCCCAGAATGAACTGTGGAATTTCCCTTTGCCCACTCTCTCCAACAAAACAAAGAAAAAGCCTTGCCGACACTTAAAGATCAGATTTCCAGTGACCATCTGGATCCCCTGGTCTCCCTGGCCCCACGGGAAGACTGCACTGTGCCTGCATACTCACGTGCAAAACCAGGCAGCAGCCACCATGCTGTCTTACCCCACGATGGAAGGGTCTGGGACCCCTGCCACACAGCGCAGCTCTGACCCGGCAGGTGTTGGCCAGCAGCCGTTGCCAGTACACCCTCCTACTCCATCCCCCCTTGGGTGCTGTAGGGGAGCTTGCGTCCTGAGTCCCCGGTAGACAGGGCTGTGTCAGGGGACAGGCTAAAGCCCTACACGTCTGTACTCTGCCCCTTCCTGGCAAAGAGCTCAAGGTTCCAGCCGGTGTCCGTGCACCAGCCAGGGAACGATGAAGGCAGTGCATCCACCTGCCCCCTGACATCTGGGGTCTTGCTGGTTCTCTCTGAATGTGCTGGCCTTTTAAAAGTTAAACTGCCATGGGGAAATGAAGTCCAAATGATGCCTTGATCTGACCAGAAAGGTCTCTTTCCAAAGGGAGGAAAGGGCACCCTGTGACCCACGGGGTCTAGGCTATGCTTTCTGTCCTCCCTGGAGACCGTTTGGTGAGACTTGGGCAGGCTGGTGGGGAAATCGCACTGCATGCCCCAGCCTCTGGCATGAGTGACTTCAGACCTGGTCAGTGACTCAGTGCCCCAGGCGTTGCCCTTCCAACTATGACAGGGTTTCCAGGGGCTTGTGATTAATCACTCTCAGATTAAAAGAGAGTTCACCTATTAGTGTGTCTCTTGTGGAAACATCTTTTCTCAAGTCATCCTAGGCTTTTGCTTATTTTATTCCCTGACCCAAAAGAAACACCTGGGCTGCCTGCCTGGCATCTCGAATCCCTTGCAGGGAGGGGGCTGCGGATCGTGCCCAGAGTAAGCTGGCCCTTCCCCTCATTCTGGGGGGAAAGCCAGCAACGTGGGCAAGTGTGGACATGGGGCTGAGCCCCACACAGGACGCTGTGGAAAACACACGCTCCTAGCCACTCTGCCAGGAGGGAGAAAAGGCAGGCTCCCTGGGTGGGCTGGGGTGGAAAGAGGTGGTGGCAGAGGCCTCTGGGCTCAAGTTCATGGACTAATGACCTGGGCTTGCACAGCAAGACCCTCCACAGCCCCTGCAGCCCATTGACAGGGGCTAACTCCCAGCTCAGTCCGACTACTCCCCCTTTTTCTAAACTGGATCTTTCTTCTTCCCAGGCTTGCAAAGAGTCAGGTTCCCTCTGTCACCTGCTAAGGTCCCAGGCTCTGCCCTGGGTCCTCTCCTTCCACCTGAGTCGTTGGCCTGTTTGGTACTGGAGGCCCAGCCCAGGCTCCCACCCTGCCTGAGAAGGAGGAAGGCTTCAGTGTCGTGAGGGCACCCCACTATCAGTTAGCAGATGCTGAGGCACACACTCTCCTCATAGTGTCCAACACCCCTGCCTTTCTCTCAGGACGTGGAGAATACAGAGCAGACAGGAGACAGACACTGGCCGCGGGGAGGGAGGGGAAGGGGGGGCCTTTCATGAATAAAGGCAGCTTCAGTTAGTAAGAGAACATAACTAACAAGCTGCAAACGCAGCACCTACTATTAGTCATGGACTAAAACATATAAATAATAAATACTGCAAGTGTCCCTCTTCCAGCCCCTCCCTGGCCCGCAGGACATCCGGCCCGGTGGGGCAGGGGCTTGGGGGCGAGAGGCATGGGCTCTGCTCCCTTCACACACACACTGCACAGAGACACAGGATAGACTCTGCAGCAGAACATGGTGCAGCCACGGGTGGGCCTGTGCCAAAGAAAGCCTGTCGTGGGGACGGGGTGGGGGCTGGAGGAGGAAGGGGCCTGGAGCCACGGCTCAGATGTCAGGTTTCTGCACCTCGAGCATTTGGAGTAACACTGCTGTTAAGGTAGTAACCAATCACATCCGCAAGCTTCCCCCTTTGATGTGGCACCTCGCAGGAGGAAGGACATGGAGTTAGAAACCAAATCTGAAATGCTTTTGCAGGGATGTAGAAAGTCTGGTCCATTCCTACAGCACCAGGGATGGGGGTGGCAGGTATGATTCACAGAGGTCTGGAGTGCCCGGACCTCAGGGCAGAAGGGCTCACGCACGGGAGGGTATTGCTGTGCCGTCCAGCTCAGGAGTTGGCTCCCAACAATCTCTGAGTTTCATGGCCGTGGTCCCCAAAGTTCCCACTGGCCGGGACCCATGAGGTCATGGTCTCCTGGCCCACGAATGCCTAGGAGACTTGATGCTTATGAGCATCAGCCTGTCGGTGGCAGCCCGGAGGGAGGCTGGCCTGGAACCCTGGCCCTGGGGCAGTGACACCTTGGGGAACCTTGGCCATGTTCCATCAAAAGGCTCTCCTGCTCATCTAGTGACTAAGGAGGACAACTCAACCCGACAAGGCTGGGGGAAGGCTCAGACAGTCTCCTTCTCCAGCCCAGGAGCAGGAAAATGAGCCCAAGCAGGGGGCTGGAGATCAATCAAGCCCACGGTCTGGGCCGTGCTTTTCCAGCTGGCTTTTGCAGATCCTGTGGGTTCTGGACAGGTACCTTGGGAGGTGCCACTGACAAAGGGACGGCCTGGTGGGCTGTGCTTGGAGAAGAACCTTACACTCCCCAGCTTCAACCAGAGCAGCCTGGAGTTCAACTGCACCTTGAACTTCCCCCTTCCAACTGAGCTTAGTAAACTAAAGTCTGCTGCTCAAAATAAAAGTTTTGAGAATCACTTGTCTGGGGGACTGGGTCACTGGCAGGGACAACAAGGAACCTATAGGCTTTGAGGATCAACCAAAAGAGGTAAGACCACTGTGGCGCGGGGACCAAGCAGTCCTTGCCCCCAGTACCCAGCTTGTCAAATGCAGGTCGTCGGCAGAAACGGCTTTGACCTCTACACCTTCCTTCTCCATCATTCTGTAGCCATGAGAGCTCCTCTCACAAAAGACACCCCTCCCCCCCCGCCGGGGGTGGGAGGCCAGGGTCCAGGTGCCACCGGCCCCCCTGGCTGCTTTCCCTTTGAGATCTGCTGTGGCTCATGTGTGCCCAGTGCTACCTGAGCCGGCCGTCAGGTTTGACGGCCCCCAGCTCCGACTTGGGGTCGGGGCTGAAGGAGCTCCAGGCCGTCTGGCTGCAGGTCTGCATGACGGGGCAGGCAGTGGGGCCCGTGGTGCAGATGTCCATGGCGGCCCACATCCCACCTACCAGCGAGTCCAGCCAGCGCTCGAGGCCCGCGCCAGCCGTGGCCGCGTTCCTGCGAGCCTGCTCCACCTGGGCAGGGCTGATGGGCAGGCTGAGGACGGGGTTCAGGCTCTGGAAGCTCTGTTCCATGTAGGCGCTGCGGAGGGGCCCGTTGTGCAGCCTCAGTGCCTCCTCTGAAACGCAAAGGGATTAGAGCGTCAGACGCACCACAGAGTGGGGGCCGGCTGCGGGCCTTGCACGGCGCGGGGCACCGTCTGTCACCACGTCAGTCACGGGACAAGCTCGGGAAGTTGGTCAGTGGCCCCCACCGCACAGACGAGGAATCCGACCGCAGGGACGTTCCTTCCCCAGCCAGGGGCCTGCTTGGTGCAGGGCACTGTCTGCTCGTCCCTCCGGTCAGCACATGTTCCCATAGCAGCGTCAGTTACTAGTCCACACATTCATGTGGCGCATTTAAAGCACCTCCTATGTGCAAGGCATTCACTCCTTCATTCATTCATGTGATAAAGATGTATTCAGTGCTGCCTGGATGGCTCTGCCAGTCGAGCACCCCACTCTTGGTTTCAGCTCCACTCCTGATCTCCCGGTTTGTGAGATCGAGTCCCACATCGGGCTCTGTGATGACAGGGCATAACCTGCCTGGAACTCTCTCCTCCTCTCTCTCTCTCTGCTCCTCCCTGGCTTGCACACATTCTCTCTCTCTCTCTTCAACATTAAATCTTTTTCCTTAAGTGCCAAGCTCCACTCCCAGTGGTGGAGTGAACCAGGTAGTCAAGAAGATTACGACCCAGGGGAGGAACACTGATGGCGATAAATAAGCAAGGTCATTTCAATCAGCAATACGCAAAACCGGACTAAACTGGGTGTGACCGTACAGCAAGGGGTTGGCGAGCTACAGCCTTTGGGCCAAATCTGGCCCACCGCATATTGTTGTAAATAGAGTTTCAGGGGAACACAGCTATGCCTGTGCGTACCTCTTGTCTGCGGCTGCTTCTGTGCTACCACAGCACAGGTGAGTACAGACCGAGACCGTACGTGGCCCACAAGCTGAAAATATTTACTGTGTAGCCCTTTGCAGTAAAAGCTTGCAGCCCTGGGGTTAGAGAGTGACAAGCGTGTTTCTTTGGGATGAGAGGGGCGAGGCAGGCCTCTGTGAGGTGACAGCTGAGCTGAGTGCTGGTTAATGAGAAAGCAGCAGCCGCAGGTAGATGGCAGGAAAGAGCGTTCAGAGCAGAGGCAACAGTGAGCACAAAGCCTCATTAAGTGCCTTTCTGCAAATCACAGAGGTAACGAGAGGCGGAGCTGAGGTTTGAACCCACGTCTGTCGACCTCAGCTGTCTCTCAGGACAGCCCTGCCTTGCTGAACAGCAGCGCTTCATGCATGAACGAGAAGACGGCAGTCAGGGTGTCTGGGTCTGAATCCCCATGGCCCACACACTTGGGGTGTGGATTCTGATACCAACACTGGGCACCTGGTTTCCTTGACCTAGTACCTTTTGTGATGGTTAGAAGGGTTGACTTCTTTTTAAGTGCTTAAAAAGGCACCTGGTGTTAGGATCCCAAATATAGAAAGAACTTGTACAACTCAACACCAAAAAACCCCCAAATAATCCAACTAGAAATCGGCAGAAGACATCCAGAGGGCCAACGGACACATGAAAAGATGCTCATCATCAGTCATTCTTGGAGAACTGCAAATCAAAACCACAATGAGGTATCACCTCACACCTGTCAGAATGAGGACTATAACACACGCACGTGTTGCTGGGGACGTGGAGGAAAAGGAAGCCTCATGTGCTACTGGTGGGGACGCAAGCTAGTGCAGCCACTGTCACAAACAGTATGGAGGTTCCTCAAAAAGTTAAAAATAGAACTGTCCTCCAATCCAGCACTCACACTACTAGTTATCTACCCAGAGAATATGAAAGCACTGACTTGAAAACACACATGCACCCCTATGTTTATTGCAGCATTATTTACAATAGCCACATTATGCAAGCAGCCCAAGTACTGCTTTAGCCATAAAGATAAAGAAGGTATCTTATGTACAGTGGTATTTATGCAGTGGAATATTAGTCACAGAGAAGAATGAAATCTTGCCATTGGCAACAACACGGATGGAACTAGAGGGTATAATGCTAACTGAAATAAGAGAAAGATGAATACCATACGATTTCCCTCCTGGGTGGAATTTAAGAGACAAGAAGGAAAAAAGAGAAACCAAAAAACCAGACTCAAATACAGAGAACATACTGGTGGTTACCAGAGGTGAGGTGGGTGGGGGATGGTAAACTAGGTGAGGATTAGGAGTTGCCTATCGAGATGAGCACTGGGTAATGTATAGATTGGTTGAATCACTACATGTGCACCTGAAACTATAGAATACCACATGTTAATTATAATGGACTTAAAATTAAACGAGACAAAATCTGGTGCAAACACACGCACACAAGCAATGCCGGGCCTGTACTAAGTGCTTGAAGAAGTTTAGCTAGGGTTACTGTGGCTGGTGTTTTTAGGACACAATCCTCCTACACTCACACAGTCACAGGACCGGTGTTATCATCCCCATTTTACAGATGGGGACACAGGTGGCTATCGTGTGAGACAGATCAGGGGTTCAATCCAGGACTGGCTGGTTCCAAAGCTCGTCATCAGGACACTCTATTTGCAGGCACATCCAACCAACTGGAAGCTTTAAGACTGGTTTTAAGTTTTTAAATTTTATTTTCATCTGGAAGCCAGTCTTTCAAAGACTTGGTTTCCCCATCTGTAAACTGGATACTCATTCCTGATACCAGATTGACCCCGAGGGCTGGCAAGAGGCTCAGGTAAAGGTTCATACGCTCTGTAAACAGTAAAGGAACACGCAGGAGGCTGTGTGGCTCCTTCCCAGGGTTTCAAGATGGGGGAAGCAGAAAGTGCACGTTTGGGCTGAAGGAAAGAAGCCAAGATACTTCTATTTTGGAGAGGTTCTCTCTTATTGCCTACTCTATTGCCAAATACAAGAACAGGTTTTTAAAACACACGGGCCAGTGATTCTGGTGAGTTGTGTTTTAGCAAATCAGCTCTTGCCCTGGCTGAGATAGCCAGGGTTCTAAGAAATGTCCTTATAGGACAGTGTGGCATTCAGAAAACGTTTTCTGTTCGTTTGGCAGTGGCTGTCACCCTCACTGGCAACCAGGAGATCTCAGATAATCCACAGACTGTTTTCTAGTATGTGGTCCATGAGTGAGGTTCACGAAGGGGGAAGAAATACCATACACCTGCAAATAGTGGCATTCACAACATGCCTTGACTACAGACAAGAAAATCAATCCCTCCCTCCCTTCCCTCAATCCCCTCTCGGTCCCTCCCCTTCCCAGAAGCAGAGGGGCTGGGCCCCAAGGGTAACAGGTACAAGAAGGGGTATGAGCCTGCATGAACATATATCCCGGCTTGCTGTGATTTAGCTGACTTAGGTAGGACCTAACGTGTTTATAAATCTGGCAGACGGGGCGGGTAGCTCCTGAACCATCTGCCCAAGAACAAAACCTGTTCTCTCTCCAGCAGGTCCTGATCTGTCCACCAGAGCCTCTCCGTGCCTCCACATCTGCAGAGCTGGTGGTGGGGAGATCCCTGAACTGACAAAAGGCAGGCCATGCAAAGTGAAGAGAGCAGCTAACAGACATCTGAACGCTGGGAACCCAGTATTATGGGTGATGCAGAAAACCCTGATGAAAAACAAGGTTAAGGTGGGGAAATGCTATCACAGCATTAGCCCGTGATGCTTGCCTCTATAATTAAATTTTCCTCAATTCCACCTCATCAGATTTCTCGAGATTACCAGGGACGCATCAATAGCAAATTACTCCTGATGAATCATTTTACAAACTGCATTGCTCCCACCTTCGTGTTCCCTGCCACTGGAACATCATTAATAGACACAAATGCTGATGTGTGTGTGGGGGGGGACAGCTCCCAGTGGGGTACAATGACCCCTGGCTATTCCTGGGCAGGGTTACAAGAGCCTTGCCATCCTCAGAAACTCTAAGGAGGAAAAACTGGAAAAATCAGGACCCAGTTAAAGGCCCCAGGCTATTTTACTGGGGTGAGGAGGTAGATTCAGGACCCCTCCTTTGTTATATCCCACAGGTGTATGTGGAGCAAAGAGGACAAGGCTATTTCTACCCCTCTCTTCTGCATCTTTCTTTGGGAACTCTCAGGGATGCTAAAGATGTGAACCTAACCAGGAGGGCACTTGAGGGCCCTCAGTGGGTGGGCTCTGGCCCAGCTAGTTCTGGATGTGTTCTTTTGCCTGCTTCCCAGGGGAGCTGGGAGGATCAGATTTCCTTCTCCAGAAAATATGAGGCCTGGATCTTTCTGCTTGCTCAGCACAGAAACTTAGAAGAGGCCCACACAAGTTCACTTCAACACCCCCTTGTTAGGATTCCAGGCAACCCCTCCCCATGTCTATGTCCCCCTCTCCTTGTGTCACCAGCTAAATGGCACCCAGCCCAGAACTGAGAGTTTAGCTAACCAGAGGCTGGAGTGCGTTTTTGGCTTCTGGGTTTCTGATCTGTTAGATATAGACCAACAATTTCAAATACAGAGAGATCCAGAAATCCTGTTTCTAAGAATCTATTTTATAGATGTATCTGCATGGGCATAGACAATTTCAAGAATCTTTGCAGCGTTACCTGTAACCCCACCATGACCGAAAGAAACTGTATGTCCACTCAGGGGATGAAAGATAGATTGTGGGTCTTTCTCCCAGTGGAATACGAGGCAGCTAGTAGCTTTATATATATTGACTCGTTAAGTCCAAAGAGAAGTTTCACCCCAAAATGTATCACTCCATTTTCAAACACCAGCAGTGTGTGTGTGACTTATTTTGTGTGTTGATGCTTTAGAAGCCTTGAGAAACCTCTAGAAGGATGAATACCAAAGTGTTGGCAGTGGTTACTCTGGGAGGTAGGACTGAGCAGGGAGGAAGATGTTCCCAGTGATCAAAGGGGGAGGAGGAAAGGACAGAAAAATAAAAGTAAACTCTCTGGGTAAGAAAAGAAAAAGAAGGCGGCACGTTAAGAGTCTGACATCCCTCTCTCTGCTCAGCAGGAACCACTGTCCTGATTTCCTATTAACAACTCGTTTTCTCACAGCTTTTTATGGACAGAGAATCCTGAAATAACGTAGTGGTGGCTTGGCTTGCTTTTGAACTTTAAATGTATGCGCTCTAATTATGACTCTTCTGTGATATTTTCCTCTCAACATTATGTTGTAGAGACTCATCCAGATCAATGCATGGCACAGAGCTCTGCTGTCTGAACAGACCCCGCAGTGTTCATACATCTGAATGTGGGCATCTGCACTGCTTCCGGTTTGGTGCCACTATGAACAATTCTGCTCTACTTCTGCACACATCTGTAGGGCATACACCTTAGGCTGGGATTTCTGGGCAGTAGGAGGTGTGTGTTCAGCTTTGGTAGGAGATGCTATGCCATTTTCTAAACCCGTTTTATCACTTTGCCCCACCCCCCGCCCCATGCCAACACTACGTGGGAAGCCATTATTCTCCAACCCTCCATCATATGATATTGTCTAACCTTCGAACATTTCACAACATAGTGGCATGAAATCGGATCTCTTTTTGCTTTTAATTTGCATTGCTCTCATTATTCATGAGGCTGAGCATCTTTTCATATGTGTGTGGGCCATTTATGCCCTGTCCTTTTTTTTTTTTTCCCCCCTTTCTTTCTCCTTTCTCCTTTGTAGCAAAGGCCAGCAATCCTTTTCTCTAAAGGGCCAGATAGTCGGTGTTTTGGATTTGTGGGCCATGCAATCTATGTCACAATTACTCAATGCGGCCACTGTAGTCCCAAGGAAACCATAAACAATATGTAAATAAATGGGTGTGGCTGTGTCCCAATAAAACTTTACTTAAAAAAGAGGGAGTGGGCCAGATTCGGCCCCTGGCTTGTAGTTTGATTTATGGGATTTCTTTATATATTGTGAATGTATTTTTTTTTTATGTGTAGCAAATATTTTCTTACTAGTCTTTTCATCTAGTGTATCATATTTTTGATGGAAAGAATTTCCTATTTTAATTACTATTTTTAAAACAGTAAGAGTTGCCAAAACTCACTATCTGCCTGGGTTTATTTCCCATCTTGTTTTAAATATAATCAGGGCTCTCTGGAAGTCCAGTGGGAGAGCATCTAATAATTAGGTACCTAATACACAGAGAACATCATCTCAGTGTGCAGGTAGAAGATTAGAAGGCTCTCTTTGCAAACAAGCAGGGAAAAATGCTGAGCAGAGAGCACTGTTCTCGGAGGCAGCCCACATGCCCCCCACCTGCAATGCCTGAGGGAGAAGACCCGGGAGACGCCCAGGATGGATTATTTCCACCCCCAGAGACACTAGGAGTACTCACCTGGTTTGATGGGCTGCCTATTTGAGAAGGTCAGAGGTGCAACGAGGAATTTGGTCTCTGCAACTGGCACCCAGTGGTGAAGAATTTTCACTGTCCAGACCCCAGGCCTCAGGGGCAAGTTCAAAGGGGGCTTGTAGTGAGTGAATTCGGCAGTGGATTCAATCAGGATGTCATAGGTGGCTGCGATGATGTTGACGGGATCCACCCAGATGACAGTCACGGTGACATTGGGGCCCTTCCCCCATTTCTGCATGCCTACCGGCTCATCCATGGGCCCCAGGAGCCCCCCAAAGTTGCGGAAGAGCCGCTCCTTGGCATCCCAGTCAGTGCCGACCTGAAAGAAGAGAACAAGTCTTGGAATCACTGAGCCGGATTTAGGATACAGGGTCCCAGAGAGGCCTACGATCCTGCTTGTTGGGCTACATACACCCATTTTACAGATGAGGGAAGCTCTCAGGAGGTCAGCTGCTCAAGACTGCAAAAGTGGTAGTAAGCAGAAGATTTGAGATTCGGACCCAGTCTGTGGTCTGTTCATTAAACCACTAGGCCTCCTGGGCCTCATACAGCATTTGACACTTGGAAAGAAAACACACAACATGCACTGAATCAATCAATGCCTGCTGGCAGGCCATCCCGAGGACACATACCCCCACTGCTAGGCAGGTGCGGGCGGTTTCCACTTTGGTTCTCCGTCTTCTAGATCAGGCACCTCCATCTAGTATGACATTCTGAACATGAATGGAGCTCAGGTTTCTGAGCTGCTCTATCACAAGCTGGGAAATAGGAGGGTCCCTCAGCCTCGCTTATTGCTGGCAGTTCACATGGCTCTCCCGGGAAGAGACCGCTGTGGCCTCCCTAATGCACTCAGAGCTAGATCTTAGGGGTGGGAGGTGGCTGTGACACCCACCCTTCCTGCCAGCGAGCTGGTGTCTGTGTGGCTCTGACTGGCAGGGGCCTGCTCTTGGCTTCCCTCCTAACACTTGAGTCGCCTGCAGTTTGTTCTTCAGCCAGAGTGGCCAGGAACAGCCTCTGAACTGTCCTCTCGCTGCTGCTCAGTGCCCCTGTGGCCTGCTTCACTGTGCTTTCCTGGTGCCTAGCACCATGCCTGGTGCACAGCAGGTGTCCGTGTCTGGTTAATATCTGTCACATCACTGAGTGAGTGACGTCGCAAAGAAATGAATGGACTACACAGATCCCGGATACTGAGCTGTTACTATTTCAAACCAATTTAAACGAGGGGTCTTCTGCTCCCCCAGGAGATTTAATTTCATGTTTTCGAAGATACAGCATGTGGGCAACGTTGTCAGCAGATAACGAGCACACTCTAAGGCTTGCCTGTTTCTGTGGTCTTTCCGTGACCAGCATCTCCAAGGTGTGCGTGTGGGTTGCGGTACAGGTGCATGAGAAGGTGCACCAACACCCCGAGAAAATGCCTCATGTACAGGAGCTGGCTTACTTTCTTGTTCGTGCCACTGGTTGCTGCGTCTGGTCTTTCTCTTAGACCCAGAGCTCCGTGGCTCATGCTTCCCAAAAGCTTACCATGGGACTGGCTTAACGCTGAGCGCTCCAGTGAACCCACTTGTTTGACCCTCTCCGCTCTGTGAAGGGGAGACACCATCATTATCCTCATTTTACAGATGAGAAAACCGGGGCTCAGGGCACTGAGGTCACTTGTTGTGGTCAGTGAGGGGCAGAGCCAACAAGGAGACCCAGGAAGTCCAACCCCAGAAGCTGTGTTCTAGTCCACTCTTGTGTTGCTGATCATTCATTCACTTGCTCATTCACAAGTTCACTCACACAGACGTGCCAGACGCCTACTGTCTGCCAGGGATGCACGCTCCCACAGCTTGTTCCAGGTTTCCATGTTTACACAAGAGCCTACGGACTGGGACCGAGGAGCTGTCCTAAGGGCAGCGGAGGTAGGGATGGCTGTGGCACTTCGGCAGGGGTGGCCGGCCCTCCCAGATCGATGATAATGCGGCATCCGCTGCCACCGTGTGGATCAGCTCCCCCTGAGGACCCTTGTGCTAGCACAGTGGCTGGAACACAGCAGGAGGCAAACAGCTACCATTAACCGAAGAAATGAATGAATGAGCGCACGAGATTCCAGATAGCCTCCATGTCTCGGAGAGTTTTCTCAAGAAATGCAGTCCTGTTACGTCCCCTACATCCAACCCTTGCTGGTCTCAAGTCCAGTCTCTCATCCCCATCCTGCGAGGTCTCGTCCCTTTCTGTCTGGCTTCATCTCCGCCCCCCAGCCTCCCTCCCACTCACCCCTGCTCCAGGACACCTGGATGTCTCGGCGCCTCTGTGAGGCGGGCTCTCTCTCGTCTCTGACCTTTTCTTTCTTCCTGGCCCTCTGGCTGGAACAGTCTTCCTTCCTTTCCCCACCGTCCTCCTGCCCAGACCGCACTCCCCACGGAGAGCTCAGCCAAGGCATCAGCTCTACTAAGCAGCCTTCCCAGTTAGAGGCACCACCCTGGTGCTTCTCTAGTCTCTTTTTATAAAGGTGTTTATTTTTGAGAGAGAAAGAGCATGAGCAGAGGAAGGGGGAGGACACAGAGAGAGGGGACAGAGGATCGTAAGTGGGCTCTGTGCTAACAGGAGAGAGCTCAATGCAGCGCTTGAACTCAGGAGCCATGAGACCTTGACCTGAGGGGAAGTCGGAATTTTAACCGACTGAGCCACCCAGGCGCCCCGAGGTGGGTGCTTCTCTAAGTGTTTGCCCCTCTCAGTTTTGGGTTTTTCTTTTTTTTGCACAGTTTTACAACTTTTAATTTATGTGTCTCTTTCCTGAGCTCTGGACTGTCAACTCCATGAGGAGAGTGGCTGTGTCTGGCCTGTTCACCAATGTATCGCTGGTGCCTAAAGCAGTACTGAGCACATGGTGGTGCTCGTCTGACTTTATCCATCCATCCATCCGTCCATCCATCCATCCTCTATTCATGAATAATTAGGGGCAAAGCACACGGACATCCCTATGCACCAGGCCCTCCACACGCTGGCTTTCCCACAGACACTAACAAATGGAGGACTGGTCACAAACTTATTGGGGTCCTACTTAAGGAAGGGCTTTGTGACCATTTAGAGCAGTGTGGGGATGCTCCAGACCAGGGTCCTTGGATTCCCCAAAGAAAGGGGGATGACCAATTCTCTTAAGTCTGAGCTCTAAAACCAAGATAGTCCAGATAGAAGATCTGTAGAGCAGCTGTCAGTGGAGAAGTGGATCTCATTTCCAATCCTGGAAGAGTGGGCAGAAGCCTGGCTGCCTCCCCCAAGCACAAGCAGGGCTGCCTGAGATGGCACCCCACTGCTGTCACAACCTCTGGGGCTTCAAGATCTTTTCACAGACTCACCGTGCAAGCCCATAAACGCTTACTACACAGTGATCACTACTCAAATTTAAGTGCCTGTTCAAGTTCAACATATGGCTCCCCAACTTCAAACCGACTAAAAGCTTCTCACTGCATTTCAAATACAATCTGAGCTTTCCTTCCATGGCCTTCAAGCCCCCCTCATGATCTGTCCCATTCCCTCTGAGACCTCCCTTCTACCACTCTCCCTCTCACGGTGCTCTGGCCACACTGGCCTTGCTGCTCCTTGAGTGTGCCAAGCTCCTTCCTGGAGGCCCAGGGCCTTTGCACATGCTCTTCTCTCTGTTTGGAATGCTATAGGTCTCCCAGTGGATGGTTCTTTTTTACAGGATTCTGCTCTGCAGTAATCTCCTTAGAAAAGCTTTCCTGAATGAACCATCCCATTGGAAGTAGTCCCCATCAGCCTCTTCAGTCCTCAGCAAGGACAGGAATGAAGTTTTATGTTCTTTAGCTGAAATGTTTTTCTTCGTTTATTTGCTCACTCACAGGCTGCCTTACCACCTGACTATAATTCCATGACAAGAGCCTGTCTAGGTCACCGTGGTCTCTCTGCACCTAGTACACTGTAGCCACTTGGTGACTGTCTGTAAAGCAATGAGCATCTTTTCTGCCAGCCACCAGCATGGCACTCTCATGGGATGGAGAAGTCCCTCTGATGGCCCAACAATGGCCACCTGCTCTGAGCCAGGCCCTGCGCAGAGTCCTGGGGCTGTGCTGCCACCAGGCGGTGGGGGGGGGGGGGGCATTCCCTACAGTTCTTTCCTTTCTTTTTACCAGTTTTATACTGTTTGCCTTATAAATTATTAGGAATTCAGAAAAAAATTCAAAATACAAGATCCAGGGCCCCCTGCATCACACGCTGTTGCTCTGCCAGGGGTCTTGGTGGTTCTCACATCAAAGTTACCAGCCCTATGGTAGGAAGCCTCACAAATCACTAGCCATTGAGTGGCCAACCTCATTTGTCACCACCAGAAGTGCCCAGTTACCCACTGGCAGGCTGATAAACAGGGAGAGCCCAACCACCAGGCATCCGTCTCATTAATGGGACGTTAATGTCTTCAGTTGGCCGCCTGGGCCCCCCGGCACAGGATCCAACTGGGGCAGTGTCTAATGGCCCCCTGATGCTGGTAATTTATGGGGTCGACTTCCATGGCAGCTTGAATCCAGCCAATCCATTTGGATCCTTAATTGAGAATGGTGGCTTAACAAGAAACCCCATGCAGTAGGGCACAGCTCGGCCAGGTAGGCCACAGGTGGCTGGTGAGGGACCGGCAGGGACATATGAGCAGGTGGGATCCTTCCTGCCTATCCCCGCCCACTCCCAGCTTTTCAAGATACTCCCTATTCTAAAACTAGACTCTTTGTAGTTAACCCAGCAGCCCAGCTCACTGGGACTGCTCAACTGCAGAGATGCATCACCTTCTCTGGCTCCTTGCTGATATGGGGAAGGCAGAAATCAGGTGCTAGAGTTTTGTGTGGGCGACCCTCACCACGCTGGATCATGCTTCCTTTCCTCCGGCATCCCCCACCCAAGTGGACATACTCCTTCATTCAGAAATCGTATTCAGCACCTACAGATGCTGAGGACAGGGAACACAGTCCCAGCTTTCTCGAGGACGATCAGCAAGTGATCAGAGAAACCAACAAGATGATGTTTAAATGGTAAGCGCTAAGAAAAGAAAACAATAAAATAGGTACATGTCAAGTGGAGAATTTGCTCTTGTGGCATATGTAGGTGGGAGGGAAGGCTTCTCTGATGGTTCACCATTGGGATGCAGATCAGAATGACAAAAAAAAGCTATGTGAAAACCTGGGGGAAAGTATTCTAGGCCGGAAGATGAGAATCTGCCAAGCTGGAGGCAGGAACAAGCTTGGCATGTGTGACAACAACACAAGAAGTGTGAGTGGGGAGGAGAGTGGTAACAAATGAGGCTGGATACATAGAGGCCAGACTGGGTCTGCAGGTATGGCTGATGTCATAAGGGTGGTGCTGGGCAAAGAAACAAAAACAAAAAACAAAATAAAAACTAAAAATGCATCCCATAGATTCATGTACCCACACACCTGTCTGTCTATCCAGTGGCCCACCTGCCCATCCATCCACCCACTCACCCATCTATCCATCCCCACCTGCCCATCCATCCACCCACTCACCCATCTATCCATCCATCCATCCATCCATCCATGTATCAATTCATCTGTCCATCCATGTATCTATCCATGTATCCATCCATTCCTCCATCCATCCATCCATCCATCCACTCATTCAATGACTGATTTGAATAAAACCCTGTGCTAGGAATTGGGGAGACAGAAACACCATTAAGCATGAGATACGTGGGCAGAGATACCTGGGCTCAGTTTGGAGCTCTACAACTTCCTAGCTAAGATCCAGAAAGTTCTTGGCCCTCCAGAGGCCTCAGTTTTCCAGTCTGTAAAAGGAGACTAATGCCATCACTTCATTACGATACTGGTTTGTTCCGTCTATTGCTAATACAGGCTTAGGAGGAGTCACTGGGTAGGATAAAAAATTAAGATGATTCTACTGTTAAAAAAAACAGACCAAGGCTTCAGGTCAGTTTGGACCACTGAGAGCGGCCACACACTCTGTCTCTCTCCCTCCTCTCGTTTAAGATGCCAGTTCCCGTGCACTGGAAGATCTGCAGGTATGGGGTTAGCTATCGTCTGGGCTCTCCAACTCCCCTTCCCTTCCATCTCCATCCTCAAATGCCAGACTGGGAAAGAGAAGCCGGCAGGGGTGCCGCAAAAGACGAAGAAGCACGACAGGACTCCTACCTCAGAAAATTGGAGCCTCCCGAAGTCACTGGGGGGACTTGCGATCTTGAAGACTTTCTTTGGCATCACCCATGTCTCCAGGGTCTCAAGTTTGCTCACGGCCAGATTGGTAGCGTGATGCTTGATCAGAAAGCCCTGGAAGCGGTCCGCAAGGAAGTAGAGGTGGACGGATGCTGGGTGGCCCATCGGGTAGTACCTGTAACAGATGCAGTCTTACGTGGGCTCATGTGGTAGGGCCAGAGGTGTGTGGGCTCACAACGGAGTGCGCTACCCATCATACTGGGGCCGTTCCAAAAACAGGCCCCGTTTTACACAGTGCAGACCATGGTCCTTTGCACCCTCCTGAAAGCTGCTCCCTGTGTATCTCAGGTCCCAAGAACTATAAATGACTTCTTGGCTGTTTATAAATGTAAAACATGCTGACTGAACAAAAGCACAATAAAGAAAATAAACATTATTACTTTTGATGCTTCTTCCCATGGAGGATGTCAGTTCACAGTTATTTATTGATCCTCTGGTGCTAGGTACCAGAAAGTGACAACAGTATGCCAACGGTGCCATATTGATGTCTTACCCTTCAGCCTTATTTTCTATGCATATATTTGCATATATCTTACATATTTGGGATCATAATATACCTTCTGCTTATATTCTGCTTTTGCTTCATAGTATTGCCCAAGCATTATCTCATGTCTTTGAAAAGTCTCTGAAAACATGATTTTTGTCTGAGTGTGCGCACACACACCACTCCACTGTAATGCCATAGGTCATAGAGCAAGTCCATCTTTAGATGTTTAACGTGTTTTTTGTGTTTTTTGTGTTTTTTTTTTTTTTTTTGCAATTCTAAAGAATGCTGCATTAAACATCTTTTAATAAAAAACCTTTTTTGGAACATCACTGTCTCTCATCTCCAAAAGGCTCTTTATGTCTGCTGTTCAACTTTATCAGAAAGGTTGTACGGATTTACATTCCCACTGTCCTTCTCACCCCACAGCATTGAGTATTATCCTTAAAGACTATTGCCAATCCAAGAGATATACACACAAACAGGTAGCCCCTTAATACACATGCCTTTGATACTCAAGGTCTCTGGGCTGAAAGGGGCAGGGAAGCTAAGCAGAGGTACCCCAAGGAGGTGGGGGGGGAGGCACAGAGAGAGGGGAGTTGTGGACAGCTCAGCTCTTTGTCCTTCCTACGCATGAAATAAAAGCTGTCGGCCTCTGCAATGTGTTAATAGCATAGCACTCAGATGGTGCTGGTGGCCCCTAGGAAACAGCATTCCACAAATTATTGCCCCACCCCTTGTCCTTCCTGCCCTCTGGCTCCAGTCAGGAGTTTAAGTCTTCATGTCCAATTATAATGGTCAGGGAAGCTGCCTTCCTGTGTTGACACATCTCTCGAAGTCACTGTCTTGTTGTTGGGATGCCTCTGGGGCTCTGAGAAAAAAAGCTTGTGCTGTCTTGGGATTGCCAGTCGAACATTCAGGGCTTATGCAAACCCGCTTTGGGTCTGGATGCTGGGAGCCACAAACCCCCCTCCCTGGACTGTGCTGCCGAACTTTCTGCCATGATGGGAATGCTTTTCTCCTCTGCTGCCCAGTAGAGTAGCAACCAGCCACTGTGACTCCTGAGCGCTTGAAACGTGGCCAGTGTGCCTAAGGAGCTGACGTTTGAATTTTAGTTAATTTAAATGTGAATGCTCGCTTGTGGCTGGTAGCTACTGTGGAGAGCCTAGAGTTGTGGAGGGGTCTTGGGGCAGCCTGCATTCATGTCCCCAGTTCTTCACTTCTGCTGTCTCCACACTCTTTTCCATTTGACTCTGTACGTCTCCTTGCACCAATGAGACAGTCTAGTTCTCGGTCTTGAATCTGTTTTGGCTAGAAGAGTGTGGTACAAGGGGTGTCATGCCAGGTCTGAGCCAGAGCCTCCAGAGTCTTGTACATTTCTACTTGGCTCTTGCTCTTTTGTGCCTACCTTGAGAGCATGCCTGAGCTTGCCTGCCAGGGGAGGAGGCACGGAGAACAAGAACAGAGCCATCCCTACCATCCCAGCCGAAGCCATCCTAGATCCGCTGACAAGTCTCAGCTACAGACAACAGAGCCCCACTTGTGACCTGCAGCTGGCTGTACATGCGGAAGAGACACCAGCTGAGACCAGGAAAACTGCCCAGCTGACCCACACACTTGAGCGCTGTGTCAATGCTGATCCTTTCAAAACACTGATTTGGGACTTGTTATGTGGCATCATTACAATAGATAGTCTGTCCACGTTTGTTCTGTAAGGTGGGTAGGGTCAGTGAGGGTGGACGAAACATAGGAGAGCTTGTCATGAGAGTCAAGAGAAAAAAGTGGTTCCAGAAGGGAGTGGTCAGTGGTACTAGGTGCTACTAAGGGATCAAGTAAATGAGCCATGGTCAAGCACTCTAGAAATCCAGGAGTTAGTCTTTGATTGCTTGCCTTCCCTCACCTTCTATCAGGAAATCCTGTTGTTCCCACCTGAATCCATCCTCTCTTCTCCTTATGCACTGCTAGCATCCTCATCCAAGCCACCATCACACCCTACCTGGCCCTTTCCAGGAGCTTCCTTGCTTGTCCCTTCCTACTTTGTCCGCTGTAACCCATTGTTAGTAGCCATATCCACTGTCCACTGCTTACATACCATAAATGGTTTGCTTGATGTCTATGATAAAATCCAACCTCCCCATGTGGCCAACCAGGTCCTGCCTCTCCTTCTAGCCTCACTTTGTTTCCCTTTGTCCCAAACCCCTACCTTCTAGCCACATGGATTCTTTATTTTGGGTTCTTGAGCATGCTAAGCTCATTTCTACCTTGGGACCTTTGCACAGGATAAACTTTTTGCTGGGGATGCTCTTCTCCTGTTACGTTGCACGTCTGGCTCTGTAGTCCCATTCTGCACAAATGTTACCACCTCAGAGAGATCTTGCTTGACCACTGAATCTTAAGTCACCAACTCATTGCTACCATGTGGCTTTTGTTAGGTATGCTGAGGTACTGTCTTTACACTAGAATGGAAAATCCTTGAATTCAGGGGCCTGGTTTGTCTGGGTCACAGCCGAGTGCCCAGTGCCTAAGAGGGCCTGACACGTGGGAGATGCTCAGTAAATGCATGTTGATTGAGTGAAAATTCGAGAAGGGTTTTCTCTTGAACCTTTGGCTTCTAAGGGGCATCTAGGGTACATATAACCCTATATATAACTGAAAACAAAGTCCTGTGATACCTCCTCTTGACTGTATATGGTACTTGAGCAATTAAAACTAAAATGAGGGGTGTGCCTGGGTGGTTCAGTCCTTCAAGTGTCCAACTTCAGCTCAGGTCATGATCTCACGGCTTGTGAATTCGAGCCCCGTGTAGGGTTCTTTGCTGACAGTTCAGAGCCTGGAGCCTGCATCAGATTCTGTCTCTGTCTCTCTGTGCCCCTCTCCCACTCACTCTCTCTCTTTCTCTCAAAAATAAACATTAAAAAATTTAAAAACAGTAAGACAGGTCGTTTTAATTAGGTGTAGTACAATATGCAAAATCCAACAGGATATGACCCAAAGGGTGCCACAGATGCATCCCATCTGGCCCAAAGGGGTTTTCCTTATTTAAAGAAGGTGGGCATTGAAAAAACTTAGATTCACACAAAAATCTGGATTTCTAATTTCTCTTGAAAAATCAGGAGACCGGTTGGCAACTTCAAGTCTGCAATTCCCAGAAGGCAAGGATGTGCTGGAGCTCAGTACCAGGGCCCATGGGTACTCCACACTGGCATGGTCAGCCCGCCCCATGAGGACTGGCACTGGCTGACACCTGCTATTCCCTGGCCCTGGAGAGCATTTGGATTTAAGCGCCTGTATTAAAATACTGACATGGTTATCTCTGGATGGTGGCTCAAAAGCAAACTTGTATGTATGTAGGTATTTGTTTATTTTGTATTCTCTCAATTTGCCATTTCAAAAATTTCTGCAATGACAAAAAAACGTGTCATTTTATAATGAGAAAAAAATCAATAAACATTACTTTTATGAAAGGTTATACTATAGACTGGAAGGACAATTTGCATGAGATGCCCAGAGGAAATGAGACTCCTGAAATAAAGTTTTCACTTGCTATTTCCCCAGATACCCCACAGGCAGGAATTCACTCTCTTTTGCCTTTTGGGATAAGGGTCCTTTGTCCTGATTTATTTGCAGGCACATATCCATAAATATATCTGCTTTGCCCACAGCAAGGCACAATGGTTCTATTATAATAAAAAATGAGGCAGAAGCCAAAGGATTCTAGGCTTGAGGCAACTTGATGGCTTGTTTAATCCCCAAACAAATACCAGGAGAATATTTCAACAACCCTAAATAAATTGTGGGTGTCTTTTGGAATTTCGTATCAGTCATTTACCTTATCAATTCCATCAAGTCTGGGACTAAAACTATTCTTGAACAACATTTGCCTCCCCAGAGTCAGACACCGAGTTACCTACAGGGATGCATGTGGTGGCTCTGAAAGCCAGGATCCTGTCCCAAACTAGCAGGAGGGGAAAGACACTGGTGACGACCTTGACCCGGGGCACCGCACCTATCCGCAGTGGGCGTGTTGGAGGGAAGTCTGAGCTACTGGCCGCTTGGGAGAGGGAGGAGTGGGGCTCTTGGGGGAGCCCCAGATGAGCATCACAGAGGCCTTGAAAGTGACCTTCAAAGACTGGGGAAGGGTGGGCTGCACAGGAAGCGGGGAGGCGCTGAGCACAGGGAAACAGCCAAGGAGGAAGCGGTTCATACCCTCTACGAAGCGTGCAGCTCTCACACCGGGCTCAGTGTTGACTGCTTTTGGCAGCTTCCTGATAATGGCAACTGAGATACCAACAGTGACATGCGTCCTTAGTGAGCACTTAGCGTGTAAAACACTTAAATGGGGATGATAATAGTAACAGTGATACGTAGCTCATGAGGCAGCGTTTGAAGATGATCTCCGTTAAAATTCACACCACCTTACTGACACTATGTGCATCTTACAGACGAGGAAGCTGAGGCAGAGAGATTAATGACTTGTCCAAGGTCAACAGGTATGGAGTGCAGTCCTGGGCTCCCGACCCAGTCTGGTCTCCCTTCAAACCCAATCAGAACTCGCACAGAGAGGAGAGGCGAAGTGTGAGGCCAGGAGGAGAGAACGGAAGTGTCTGCTGCAGCCCAGCTGGGTATGCACCAGGCACTGGGCGGATACTCCCATGTTTGCAGCTTGGAGGGAACAAGACAGTTCCTCTTTCTTCTCTTCTTCCACTCCCCAGATGAGGAAACAGAAGAGCAAGGAGGGACACCAGGGGAGGCCTCAGTGTGGACAGACTGTTGTTCAAAAAAGAAAAAAAAAAAATAAAAAAAAAAAGAAGAAGAAGAAGAAGAAGAAATGTTTTCTCTTTGTAGTTAAAGAAGGGAGGTGGATGACGAAGAGAACGGAGACCAAGAAAGAGAGGGAGAGTGATCAGCACTTCTGGGAATGCATCCTAAGGAAATCATCAGAAAAGAGAAGGGGGAGAAAAAAGAGGCTTTTTGCACAAAGATAGTCATCAGAACATTATTTACAATGGTCCATTACTGCCAAGGCAACGGGAAAGGGCAGAACCAGGCAAACTCTGGAATTTCTACTCAATGGAATCCTTGCAGGCATTAAAGAGGATCATTATCATTAGGGAGGCGGCAGAGCGGCATGGGGAAAAGGGGCGAATATTACAACGTCAAGTGAAAAAAAAAAAAAAACAACCAGGGCTCCCAATTCTTGGTGCAATTATGTAAACATCTGCAATGCGCATTGCTGGTACGGAAGAATAGGCAGGCAAAATAGACCAGGGCTGGAGGGCTTCGCGAAGGGGAAGGGGCCCAGGGTGAATGATCTTCTACCTTCCCCTCTTCTTTCCATATATTCTAGAACACTCTTTTTCAGGTCTCAACTGGTACCTGCTAGTGGTGGGTGAGATGATGCTAAGCGGTACCTGAACATCTTAAATAACAGTTCTGCATGTTAATGACGCTTCTGGTTATATTTTTAGGTGTGTCAGTGACAGTATGGCTATGTATTAAAAAGGAGTCTTTATTTTCCAGAGATACGTATTAAAATACGTATAGCTCAAATGAAAGGTCGCCTGGGATTTGCTGCAATCAAACTATCTGAGAGGAGGGTAAGTGGGCAAGGGCGAAGAGAGGAAATCGCCTTGGCCCTGAGCTAGAGATTGCTAGAACTGGGTGATGGGAGTGTGGGGTCGCACTCTGCTATTTCATATATACTTGACATTTTCTGTAATAAAAAGTAAAAAAAAAAAAAGTTCTGCATTTTCATGGTTACCTTCCACTTAAGACAGACATCACTATACAACATGGTGATCTAAAGCTTCCCTGTAAGATACATGTACTTAGCTTAAACATGAACGCGCTGCGAGGGAATAAGTAGGTAAACAGTAGACTTGGTATTATGAAAAAGCGGAAGAGTGACCGTGGCTTAGGCTTAGAGTGGAAGAGTGCCGGCCCTTGGGACGGTTCAGATGCTTTTCAGGCCCTAGGAGACTGGGAGAGGTGAGGTGCGCGGCTACAGCCCCCAGAGAGGTGGAGGTCCCCACGCAGCGCCCCCTTTTGGTGCTGTGCCGCCCGCCCCTCCTGCACCCGGGGACGATTCTCCCCACCCAGGGGCTCACCGGCAGCTGTTCTCCCCCTCCACGTGCAGCGACGACTCAGCCCGTCGGAGGCCCAGGCGGGCAAAGGAGTGATACAAGGTGAGTGCCACGTCGCTCAGGCTGTGGGTGCCATCCGGCTCATCGTACACATTCTCCCAGTAGGAGCGGAGGCCCGGGGTGCCCGCGGGGTAGTTCCCGTACAGGTAATAGTCCAGCTGCCCGATGATTTCCTGATTCACCACGGCTTCGAATTTTCGGGCAAAGAAGGTGGGCCTGGCTGTCTGCTGTGCTCATGGGATAAAAAAAGCAGTGTCAGGGAGTGGGATGGGGGAGGGAGTGGGGGTTTGGGGAGCGGGGCTCGGCAAGCCACCCTGTCTGGATCCACATCCCAGCTCTGACACTTTCTAACCTCTCTGTCCTCAGTTTCCCTATCCATAAAGTGGAGATCCTCAGAAGTGTGTTAGGACTGAATGAGTTAATATTTGGAGAGCATTTAAAGCAATGATGGGCACAGAGTAAGCATCATTTAAATGTCTGTTAAATAAATGACGTCCTAGATGTTTATAGCTGAGATGGATCTCAGGAATCATTTAGCTGAAGGTCTGGGGCAAATATAGCCTACAGATATATTTTAGTCGTCCAGCAGAGTGTTTTAAAATTGAATTAGCTGGCAATATTTAAAAAGTACAAGAGTTCACAGAAACAATTTTTAGCTTTCCTTTAATTTTTTTTTTCAACGTTTATTTATTTTTGGGACAGGGAGAGACAGAGCATGAACGGGGGAGGGACAGAGAGAGAGGGAGACAGAGAATCGGAAACAGGCTCCAGGCTCTGAGCCATCAGCCCAGAGCCTGACGCGGGGCTCGAACTCACGGAGCGCAAGATCGTGACCTGGCTGAAGTCGGACGCTTAACCGACTGCGCCACCCAGGCGCCCCTTAGCTTTCCTTTAAACAGAAATACATCTGGCAACAACCAGGCCCCTGTTCCTACATGGGAATGACTGCTTTAAGCTGGAGAGCAAGGGGGCGCCTGGGGGGCCCAGTCAGTTAAGTGTCCGGCTCTTGATTTTGGCTCAGGTTATGATCCCAGGGTCTTGGGATCGAGCCCCGCATCAGGCTGCACTGAGCGTGGAGCCTGCTTGGGATTCTCCCTCTCCCTGCCCCCTCTTCCCTGTGTGCCCACTCTAAAATAAAAAATAAAAGGGCTGAAAAGCAGCTGTCCCTTTAGATGGGCATATCCTCTTCAGCTCACTATAGTCTCCACTACTCCCTACTGCCTCCTGGGCACTGCAGCTGATTTACAGACTCACAAGGAACTCCGAGAGGTACTGATCAGAACAATCTGTGGGAGTGAGACTTAGGAATCTACATTCTTAACAGGTTTTTGGGGTGATACTCTTCTAAGACTCCAGGGTAAGGTAAATGGTGCCTGACTGGGCTAAATACCACAGTCAATTGAACATTTTTAAAAAAATTCAGATTCTGGGGTCCATCCCCAGGCCTACAGACTCAACATCTCTGGAGATGAGGTTTAGGAATCTGGAGGCCAAGAAGCTTCCCAGGTGACCATGGGGCAGTATTAAAAGACCACGTATGTAAACCAAGTTTTCAAGGAAACTGAGGTCCAGAGAGGGAAAGGGACTTATCTAAGGCCATACAGCAAGCTAATGGCAAAGCCAAGATGAAGATCCTGGGTTGAGGATAAAGAAGGAAAATTCTGAGCCCGCTGTGACCTACTGGGTCTTATACTAATATCTGGGCAGGGATCAACAAAGGGCCATAGTAACTATTTCCAGCTTTGCAACTACTCAACTGTTCTGTCATAGTGTGAAAGCAGCCACACAGTAAATGCAGCTGTGGTCAATGGGTGTGGCTGTTTTCCAAAAAAACTTTATTTACAAAAGCAGGCAGTGTGCTGGATTTAGCTCAGGGGGTGTAGTTTGGTGACCCCCGTCTAGGACTCTGGAAACAAAACCCAGCCCTCCCTTGAGGAGCTAATGGTCTAGTGTTATTACTGACCTTAAGCTGGGTCTAACACTGTTTTCACTGCAGTGGGTTAATAGCACCAATGACCATAAAAACCACCGAGCACATACTATATACACCGAATGCTGCGTTGTATCACCACCTCGAATCTGCAACACTGCAAAGCAGGCATTATGAGTTTCATTTGACACAGAAGGAAACTGAGCTCAAATACAAACTCACACGGCTGCAGGACTCTCAAGCCCAAGCTCTTTCCACTATGCCATCCCAGGACTGGGCTGCTGGGTAAGCTGGAAGCTCCCGAAAACAAACATCCTTGGTATTATCCTGAAGATCCCCTCACCTCTCGGCTTCATGAACCCTGTGGCGGTTCACGGACAGTATTTAATAGTATTCTCACTCTCCCCGGGGGGGGGGGGGGGGGGGGGGGGGGAGAAAGTTCAGTTCAGTTACCTTACAGTAGTGCTGAAAGGAGACCACTTGGGGTCAAATCCTTACACTGCTACTTCCTAACTATGTCCTTAGGCAAATCACCCAGGGCTTTAGCTTTCTCATCCTTAAAATGGGTATAATAAAATATGTACTAAGCACAGAGTCTGGCACACGGTGTTAGCTATTATTGACTATTGTCACTACTCCCCAAAGCCTGCTACGAGGGGCTTCTAGACCTTCATGTTCTCGAGGCAGAGAATGGACTCAGAGGCCGGCAGCCTCCCTCGTCTGCTTGTGATTCTTTATTCACAGCTGTATCTTCTAAAAGGGCACGTTTCTATATTTATCACTCTTCTTTGAACAAGAACTCTAAGTTCCTTACAGGCAGCAGTTTCTTAGACTCTAGATGTTGGGGGATATTCTTGATCTCTGTTTACTGTGAGAGGAATAGCTGTGAGCACGTGCGAGGTCTCTGTGTGAGCTTGTCTTTACCAGAGACCACGATGTTCCTGGGAGGCTAGAGCTGCAACGCAGATGCCGCCACCAGGGGCAGCGTCCCACCAACTGCCGTGGCCATTTGCTCTAAACGATGAAGGTCCTTGGCATTGAGGCAAACAGTTGGTCCTCTACAAAAGTGGGAATCTTTTTTTTTTTTTTTTCCTTTTGAAGAGGTCAGCTATTTTCCCCTGCAACCATCTTTCTGCTCAGTAGATCCTTTCTCCATGGACAAAGGAGTTAAATGTCACCCAAGTTCATACCTAAATTAACATGGGTTTGAAGAGGTCCCTGGGTAGCTCTTAATCTGCCACCAAAAACAGGCCTAAAAGAATACTTATTGCAGCAACCGCTTACAGAGGTGAAAGATGTTAGGTGGGCACCTTGAGGAAATCCGGATAATGAGACGAAACCCTCTGTGTGTTCTGCACCCATGTGGACACAAAACCAGGGTGGCAGTGGGGTTTGATGGAAAAGAACCAGGTCTGCAGCTGGAGGCATCTGGGAGGGACCTGCAGCCCTGCCACTCCGCTCTGTGTCCACGGACAAGGAAGTTAGCCCCTCTGTGCCTCAGTTTCCCCACGTGCACAATGGGGATGCTGCCTACCCCAGTGAAGCCAAGGCCCACAGAGGTCCTGGCACAGAGCCTGGTACGGGACAGATTCCTACTCCTGTGCTTCTCAAGCACAAATAGCCTCCTCCTCTACCTGGGAATCTTATTTATGTGCAGATTCTTCCCCAGGCCAGCTGGAGCAGTGGAGACGGCAGCCTTCTAACAGCTCCCTGGTGATGCTTATGCCAGCTCCCTGGACCACACGCTGAGGAGCCTGCTAAGAGACTAGAAGCTCCACTCGGGTGGGGGTGGCCGTGTCCTCCCATGGATGGTTCTATTATGTGTCAGAGTGAGTCTGCGGGGGCGCCTCAGCTCGGGTTACCCACCTGCACTCCCTCTGTGTTAGTGGTTGGGGAAGAAGTATACCATCTCCACGGGGTGGCTCTGGTGGCCTCAGAGTGATGTGTTTAACCACTCTGTAGCATTCTGCTTGCCCTCTCAGCAGCAGGTGCCAGGGCATGGTGAGGGGGGTGAGGCGGGAGCGGGACGGGCACTCACACAGGACGGAAGGAGGCTGCCATCCAAAAGAGGTTTGGGCGCCAAGCATCCTTGGGGCTCATGGAAGCAGATGGAGCATTTATGACCCCCTGCCTCTGCTCCCCGCAGAACCGTAAGTTGCTTGGCTGTGCCGAGACACTGTGACGGCAGTAACGTTTCTACCTCTTCTGACTTCTTCGGGTTCATAGAGCGCGGTGTTTTGCAAACCTGACTGCTCATCAGGATTCTCCAGAGTGTAACACATCAAAATAAAAATTCCTGGACCTCAACACAGATTAGGAATTCTCAAATGGGGGTGAGTTTGCCCCCAGAGGACATTTGGCGATGTCCAAAGACATTTTTTTGTTTTCCTAACTGGAGTGTGTGGCTAGATCTAGCGGCTAGAACCCAAGAATGCAGTCTCACACCCAACAACGCACAGGACAGCGCCCCACAACAGAGAACTATCCAGCTACCATGTTCGGAGGGCTGAGGTTCAGAAACTCTGCCCTGGGTACACTCAACTTGGAACCCAGAAATGTATTTTTACTGAATATTTCAGGGGATTCTGACTGAAAAGCAGTAGAGAGAAAGAGATTTGGAAACATACATAGCCCTATGGGACCTTGAGTTATTTTACCTTTCTATGCCTCAGTTTCTCTATCTCTAAAATAGATTACTGATAATATTATCTTGGGATGCCTGGGTGGCTCAGTCAAGCGTCTGACTTCGGCTCAGGTCATGATCTTGCAGGTCATGGGTTTGAGTCCGCTGTCGGGCCAGAGCCTGGGGCCTGCTTCGGATTCTGGGTCTCCCTCTGTCTCTCTCTCTGCCCCTCCCCTCCCCCCTCAAAAACAAACAAACATTAAAAATTTTTTTAAAAAACCAATAATACACTATGTGTCACACAAGGGTGATGTGGGGTTCATGAGTCAATACAGGCCAAGTGGCTACAACTGTTGTGGCCTGGGGGGTAAGTGATCAAAACCCGGTGGCCACAGTTGATGCTGTCACTGTTACTACGGACACCCAGGTCTGGAAACCGCAAGATGAGAAGACTCGCAGGCCCGGCCTCAGAGGCCTGTGGATGTGTGCCGGGAGGGCGTGGGCCAGGGGCTGGCAGGGGCCCCGGTGGGCTCACCTGGAAGCGGTGGAAATCCTGCGGCTTGAAGTCGTTGGGGGAGCAGCCGCACCAGTCCACGATGTGCTTGTACTGGCACTTACAGCCCAGCTTGCGGTTCCAGTTGGTGATGCGCAGGTTGTTGTCCACCATGGTGTCGCAGTGGGGGCTGTTCTCCAGGACGGTGTGGAAGAAGGACTGCGGGGAGACAGGGACCAGCCTGAGACCTCCTCCAGCCTCCCTCGAGTGGGCTGAGGTGGTGGTGGTGGGGCCTGCCTTCCTCCAGGACCACCTGACTGCGCAGGGACTCCCCTCTCCTGGACACTCATTGGGTCTCTCTGCAAATGGGGTCAGCTGCCAGCTTGGTCCAATTCAGGCTACACAGGATGTTTTGTCCAAGTGGCTTCATTCTGTTTGCAAGTCTAACGCTCTGAGTGTTTCTCTAAACTGTCTTTCCCCAGCAGTCTACAATCTGATTGCAAGACGTTTCCTATTGTTCACGACATCTCTGTCTGCCCGGCAGAGAGGAAAAGTCCCTCAGGTTATGTCAACACACGGGTACCAGAGGAAACGTGGTGACAATTTTCCAGAAAACCTTGGGCCAAAAGGGCTCCTGCTTTGCAAATAGATCTGAAACCAAGGGGATTCCTGTCTGAAATATCTAGAGAACAAGGACTGATGCTCTAGAATTTCACCCCTTGGTAAAAGAAGCCAGATTCAGGGATGTTTCAGTCCCGGGGTGTGTATGGGGGTGCGTCCCAGGCCCCCCTCCTCCTGCCTCAGCCACATGGGTGTGGCTACGACACAGGGAGGGGTGGGGCAGGGCTGCTCGCTGTCCGTGGTGCTGAAACAGGCTCCATTAGTTTCTTGTAATCCAATAACTCTTGGCCAACCTCTCCTAGGAATCTGAGAAGGAAGCAATGCTGAGAGTGAAGAAAGAGACCAGAGAGAGGAGAGAGAGGAGAGGGGGAGGAGGGAGAGGGAGGGAGGGAGGGAGGGAGAGAGAGAGACAGACAGACAGACAGACAGGCAGACTTCTGTTTGGACACTGTTTTATAACAACCCCAGATACCAGGCAGATACATTCTCCCTGCTCTCTGCTCCCTAGGGGGAAGATGGTGGGGTACACATGTCTGCCTCTAATAAATTTATAGCTCAGCCTTTAGATTTACTCTAAACTGTTTTCCTAGAGGTGGTCTGGGAGAAGGGAGGGCAAGGTATGGATCCTGGAGTGTTAAGTGCCTGTGTGTGCTGGGGCGGGGTTGAGATAGACAGAGCCAGCATCATGAACGGCATCTTGATTAAAACAACCAGAGCCTCCAAACAGTCCCTTCTCAAGCGGGGGATGGGCAAAATGAGGCTCCACCCACGAACTCCAGCTGCCCTGTGCTGCTAAATGACATATGCCCATGAACCTGGATTTTAAGCTTAAATTGTCTACAAGCCCACAGAGGCACATATTCTCCATCAAACAGTGGGGAGAAGTTCCCAATTACCAATTACCCTATGTCCTTTCATAATGATACAGAAATTCCCTGAAGATAATGGATGAGGAGGTTATCGACATTGAGAGAAAAGGTGATTTTCGCTGAAAAAGGATTAAAAGCTGATTACCTAATGTGTGTGCAGAATAGTAAAACCTGGCCCAGTGATGACAAGCCCATCATCCCTCTGGAGTGACGTGGGCAGTCAACCCTATCAGCTTGGCACTGCTCCAGATGTTGGTGAGGGATGTGGAAACCATCAAATGAGATACGTTGTCTTGTCTGACCTAGACACACAGCCTGAGCCTGAGGCACAGCCAGGAAGAAATGGTAGACCACTCACAAGAGGTGTCATGGGCTCAACAGAAGGGCAACCAGCTCTGGAGTTTCCTGAAGTCAGAAATTAGGAGGAAAGGGAACTGGAGGCCAGAGAGCTGAATCGAGAACCCCCCAGTCAGGTCTGTTAAGAAGGCTGCTGGCAACATTTCAGAACTGTGTCCACCCGCGTCCCCCCCCCCGGCCTTTTCCAGATGGACCTGGTACTGTTTCAGAACAGGCTGCAATTGTACACAACCAGGCTTCTGAAATGGACTGCATGTTTGCGTCTCCTCCAAAATCCATAGGTTGAAATCCTAGCCCCACAATGTGATGGTGTTAGGAGGTAGGGGCCTTTGGGAGGTGATTAGGCCAGGAGGGTGGAGCCCTCATGAATGGTATTAGTGCCCTGGTAAAAGGGACCCCAGAGAGCTCCCATGCCCCTTCTGGGATTGAGCACAATGAAAACTGTCAGTATGTAATCTGCAACCCAGAAGAGGGCCCTCGCTAGAACCTGACCATTCTGACACCCCAATCTCAGACTTCCAGCCTCCAGAACTGTGACAAGTACATTTTTGTCGTTTAAAAGCCACCTAGTCTATTGTATTTTGTTATAGCAGTCTGAACGAAGACACCTTCCCCTCACTGAGATCTGAAAAGTGGTGACAGGCTCCCTGGAGCTTTTCAAATGCTTCCGGAAGCCATCAGGAAATGTTGAGTCCCAATGGCTGTCAATGCAGGGGCTAGTACAGGTCCAGCAGAAGCCCTGGCTCTCTGTCTTTGAGATCACTGGAATTTCTATTGTGACCGATGAGGCCAACACTAATGTCTATCATGATACGATTAAAAAAATAAAAAAAAAAACCCCTCAAAATTAGAAAAGGGATTCTTCATGTTGAAAAAGTGGTTATTACATGATTGATGACTGTAGAGGATCTGTCAAAAGTTGATGTGGGTGTGTCCTGAAAGAGCCGGCATATACAGTTGTGCGGGTTACACACTGCACAACCCTAGTGGGACACCATCAACACTGTAGGTCTGAGAGGTTTCAATTTTTTTTTTTTTTAAGTTTACTGGAAAATGGCAGTGAAGGGTCTCGTTCTATCAAAATCAGTATATTGTGATGATTTTATGACCAATGAGAGCCAAGTGTCTTAAGGAAGAGCTGCCTTTTCTACTTTGCACACATATGCTGTGTGGACTACTAGTGGCAGTGTTGTATGCCTGTCTATTCCATACCAGAGGCCGGCTATGACAGCACGGACCGTGGTGGCGGATGCAGTTCTCCAACTTCCTGGATGTTTGCAGTCCTGGATGTTTGCAGGACTATGTATTGGATCCAGCATTGCTTTGCAAAACCTTCGGCAAAAATTCAGCATCTGCTTTGTTCCAAAGGCTGGAGCTGGCTCTTACCTTGCTGAGGAGCTTTTCCTTAGACACTCACCTCAGCAGGAAGCAGGGTATAGGAGTAAAATTGCTTCATTTTGGTCACCAGATCATCTGTGGAGAACGTCACATACTCCACAAACTTCCGGTTCAGCAAGAACCAATCCGAGCCTCCATCCACAGCAATGCCCTCTGGGATTCGCCGGTCCCCTAGGCGCCACATGTGGGCGTCACACTCCAGGAAGAGTCGGTCCAGACCCTGTTTTCGGATGAACCTGTGGAAGCCAAAGTAGCCCTTAGCCCAGAGGTGCACAGAATCCAAATGAAATAGCACAGTCATGTCAGTAAAAGCATGTGATGACACTTACTGTGTGCCAAGTATTTTTTTTGATGTTTATTTATTTGAGAGAGAGGGAGAGAACAAGTGGGGCAAGGGGCAGAGAGAGAGAGGGAGAGAGAGAATCTCAAGCAGGCTCCACGCTGTCAGTACAGAGCCTGATGTGGGGTTCGAACTCATGGACTGTGAGATCACGAACTGAGCTGAAACTAAGAGTCGGACACTTAACTGACCGAGCTACCCAGGCACTGCTACTGTGTGCCAAGTACTGAGCCAGGGGCTCTGTGTGTAGTTTGCCACTTTTTCTACACAAGTGAGACAGGTCCCTATGTCCCCATGAGGCAAGCACTGTCAATATGCCCATTTTATGGGTGAGGACGCTGATTAGAAGGTTTAGGGGGCTTGCCCAGTACAAGTAGATGGCAACAATCATCTGCTACATCCACTTCTTCCCTACGGAACTTTTGAAATCGCCTTTTCGTGCCATGAATGCTTTAGCACTTTGGTGAAAACAGCCTATGGAAGCTCATCTTGGAATAATGCTCTTAAAGGCATACCTCAAATATGTAGTATTAAAAAATATTACAAAAACCCTAGTTATGATGTAATTCATATGGTTTTAGATTCACACAAGAAAGGATTACAAAATATTTTTCAAAACACCAAATTTGTGTGTGTTTCTTTTGTAACACATGAGATAGCAAGATCTTGTAGCAGGTCTAACAACTGGTGTAATTTTGCAGAAGAGGGGAGCATAAATGATACTTAGAGGTATACGCATCAATCACAGTGATAGGAAAATACGTGATTCCTTACAGTTACCGCGAATACTGTTGTGGTTTGTTACCTCCATTTAGCTGGATTTCAATTAGAGTTCAGTGAAAATAAAGATCACTTTCTTCCCAGCCAAACTTGTGGGCCCCTAGAATTCTATCGGAGAACCCCAGATTAAGAACTCCTGCTCTGGAGTGTATACATATTTGGGATTTGCAAGGTGGGCAGAGCAGAATTGGCACTTCCTGTTTTGTAGATGCAGAAACCAAAGATCAAAGAGCTAGCAAAACGGATGTGTTGGGAAGGTGGGCCAAACTAGAACCAAGCCTTCTGACGTGAACCCTCAGTTCCTTTGCAGTAGGAGACCCACGCCTGCTGTGTGCCAGGCACTGTGCTGGCCTGGTGTGGGGAAGGGAGAGGGAAGGATGTTGCTGTTCCTCAGGGTGCTGTCTCACTAGGACCTATAATCTCCTAACTATAGTCTCCTAACCCAGGGGCTTTGCTGCTTCTTGAGCTCATACAACATAAAATCAACCATTTTAAAGCATGTAATTCAATGGCATTAATACATTGACCATGCTGTGCAACTGTCACCCACGTAGTCTCAAAATATTTAAGCACTCCCAAAGGACACCCTATACCCATAAGTAGTCACTCCGTGTCTGCCTTCCTTCTAACCCCTAGAAACTATCAATCTGCTTTCTATATCTATGGATTTACCAACTCTGGACATTTCATACAGATTCACACATACAATATGTGGCCTCTTTGGGTCTGGCTTTCTCTACCAACAGTAATGTTTCCAAGGCTTCATCCTGTGTTTCTGTCTACCCAGCATCCACTCCTCATTCCTCTGAGAATCACACCTTGATTTTACTTTGGACAGCCACCTATCTTTAACTCTCACTTAATTTGGGTTTGCGCCCCACCCCCAGCACCAAGCGGTGGCGACACGACCCAGCCTGGTCAGTCAGAGTATTCCATCTGCCTGGCTGCCATAACTGATTCAGGGATGGGTGAGTAACGCAAGCTAACTTTTGAGATTGGGCCCTGGATTTTTGCTGGATCTGCTGGGAAGGAGGGCTCTTCAAAGGCATTTTCAGCTGAGAGAATGTAAGCCTAGAGCAGCTGGCAGCCATCCTGTCACCATGAGTACAAAGGTTGTTTGACAGTGGAGGTAACACAGAAAACAGAGAGAGGAAGGGAAAGAGAGAGGGGGAGAGGGGGAGGGAGGGAGGGAAAGAGAGAGGGAGGGACAGTCTTCATGACTATGCTTGAGACCCTGGATCCCACTGTGCCTGACTCACCCGGACTCCTCAGTAACGTGCTTAGGGCATTTTGAAATGGGATTCTGTCATTTGCCGTTGAAAAAGCCCTATACATTCCTGAACAACTTAAACTTTTATCACTACCATGATGGATGTGAATCATCTCAGTCCCTAGAGAAAGCAGATAGCCAGGGACGTGGCACATAAATACCTCTCTTCCACTATGCCAGTCTGCACCTCCATCATGTGTCTTAGAGGCCTTTGAACCTGCATGTATTCAGATTAGAGTTACCAGTCCCCCACCAGGTAGATGCTATTATCATTAGAACTGACTCTGGATTCCTCCTTTCTGCTTTCCTCACAGTTCCTAGGACAGTGCAAGGCAGTGACTCGGGAAAGATCTACCGTGATGCCCAGACTTCAGGGTATAAAAGCTGTAGATAGTTCCATTGTGCTGGACATGCTGAATTCTACAAAGAATCCCTCCCAGTGTGTCCTCCCAAATCCACTAGCATCCAATGGAGGGAAGTGTGTGGAACCTCACTAATAAATCCATATCCCCAGTACTTTCCTCCTGCTTAAGGAGAGAACTTGCCCATAGATACTGGTCACTCACTGAGCATCATGATCAGTAATTCAGCATTCAGCAATCCACTGAATTCTTAGCAAAACTGATGACTGTATTAAAAATGTTGATGACTTCATTTTTTAAATATAATTTATTGCCAAGTTAGCTAACATACCATGTGTGCAATGTGCTCTTGGCCTAGGGTGTAGATTCCCATGATGCATCGTTTACATACAACACCCAGTGCTTGTCCCAACCAGTGCCCTCCTCAATGCCCGTCACCCATTTCCCCCTCCCCCTCCACCATCAACCCTCAGTTTGTTCTCTGTATTTAAGAGTCTCTTATGGTTTGCCTCCCTCCCTCTCTATAACTTTCTTTTTTCCCCTTCTCCTCCCCCATGGTCTTCTGTTAAGTTTCTCAAATTCCACATATGAGCAAAAACATTATGATATCTGTCTTCTCTGACTTACTTCACGTAGCATAATACCCTCCAGTTCCATCCATGTTGTTGCAAATGGCAAGATTTAATTGTTTCTCATTGCTGAGTAGTACTCCATTGTATATATAAACCACATCTTCTTTATGTTGCTGACTTATTCTGCTGAAATGTGCTTTCCATCTACATGGTGGTGCAGCTCTACCAGTAACGAGTTGAGTGACTTTGGAAAGTGATGACCCTGAGTCTTAGTTTCCCTTTTGGTAACATGACTTTGGAAAGTGATGACCAAAGTTGGGCTAGGTCTGGATTGTAATATTAAATGCCTACAGGAGTCAGACGGATAATGGAAGCATCTGAGGCAGGCTGGGTAGAAGACCACAGGGTTGGTGGAGTCAGAAAAGTAGAGAAGGCAGTTTTTGAAAAGCACTCAAATTCATTAAAAAAAAAAAAAAAAGGTGCTCTGATTCAATAAAACATATCCCTAGCCTTGAAGCCAGCACATGGGCCATCAGTCATAACAACCATGGGTTAGGTAATCGTAAGGTACTTCCCAGCTGTGACATTCTCTAAGTCACTCTGTTATATCCAGGAAGAGGGGGTGGGGCAGGCATTCCAGACAGATACATGGGATCCCAGAGAAGGCTGACAAATTTTCCACAGACACACAGAGGATACAAGCCAACCAGAAGACCCAGGTATCCCTCCCAGGTATCCCTCCTAACACGTTTCCAAGTGCAAATCCACGCTGTCAGCAAAGCCACGTTCTCTCTGGGAGTCACTCGAAGGTTTTCCAATATACTTACCGTATCACTCCACTGACACAAAACTCAGCTCTAACTGGGTCCATTAAAGGAAGCCCCTGAGTTTAGGAAAATAAAATCCTACCTCAGCTCTGTCTGGTGCTAATTATATAATAATATTAAATTGCAGACACTTAACCCTGCTTAAACCTTTGCATTTTAGGTAACTTCTACGAGAACTTATGTGCTAGCCAAGACTAACTCACTCAGAGAGACAAAGAAACAAAATTCAGGTGTTGAGGACATGCAAAAGTTTTCTTTCCATAGGCCAGCCTTTTAATTTTGTGTTCCATTATGTGGGAGAATAGCATCGTCTTGCAATTTTAATGTGATGTCCCAGACCATAATATCCAAATACAATATTTATGCAGTAATCTCCAAAATGAAATATTCATGGGGTGGGAGATTGGTTGCTATATTTACTTGCATTTGAAAACTGATAAGCTGCAAATGCATGCTTTGGTTAATTATGAGTAAACAGAGACAAACAATCCCCCCAGGTCTCAGTTCCTGGGTTAAGAGGGGCGTTTGGACTGGGATAAAGCGGCAGAGGCCCAGAGTCCGGGTATTTAGCAGGGGAAAGGAATCAACTGCTTGGACAGTGATTTGCATTTTGTTTTCTACCCTATGCATTTGCCATCTCTTGAAAAAGGGAATGGCTGGAAATCAAGGTAAGTAGGCAAATACCTGGGTGTGCCTTTTCATAAATGTTGGTTCAGCAGTCAAGGGTGTGTGATTCTCTACCTGAGGGGTGGAGAGCAGATTTATTTAAGCACTGGGCCAAACACACAGAAGATGACCAAAGACACTCTCTTATATTTAGCTTCATTTCCAGATGATTTGATTATGTGAGGGCAACCGAGTCAACAGGTGGAATTCAGAGCAGACAAAAAAAGGATCTGGGTACTAATGATGACTCTGTCTTCGCAGATGGGGAGATATGGGGTTGACTTGACTCTCTGGAATGCCAGTTTCCTCATCTGGAAGATGAGTTCCATGACACCTGTGCTGACACCCTCCTGAATCAGCTGTGAAAGGCTGACAGATGAGGTTTACAAAGGTCCTTGCTAAGTATTCAGCAAGCACTA